CTCACTTATATATATATATATATATATATATATATATATATATAAATGTGTGTGTATGTTCGTTTGTTTTCTGAAAAGTTAATCCAAATGAAAAACAAAGTTTTTTGAAGGTAGTTTTTTACGACGTTTTGGAACTACTTGCGTTTCAACACACATACAAACACACACACATATATATATATATATATATATATATTTATATATATATATATATATATTTATATATATATATATATATATATATATATATATATATTATACCTTTTATATCTATGTGCTTGGTAGATCATTATTTTACGGATGTAAAACAAAACAGCTTAGACTCATATTATTTAAACGCATCATTCTTTATTGGAATTCCCATACAGTTAGAACTGGATCTTCACCATTCATATTATATCGCTAATTTTATACTTATAAATTAATTCTTATGCGGACAGATATTTGGTGCCAAAGAGAAACCAGCGCCGCATCGTTGTCTTGATTTTTATATGCATGTTGTGCTAATAAAAGGTAATAGTGGGCTGCATGAATTTCGTTTGTAAAAGCTTTTACCTGAATAAATTCCTTTTTTAATAAATTTGCGAGACTGCATTATAAATTCGAATTTTGATTTATACAAGCATATTCCACACGTTCCACACAACAAACTTTGCTTCTCACAGCGTACTAAACCGTTATTATTTGTAGTCACAAATATGTTGCCCAATGTAGTTCAAAAAGTTTTCGAAGCTCAAGGCAGTTCAATTGAAATTTTTGCTCGCTTTGAAAATATACTTGTTGGAGGAAAAGCTCATCTTAAAACTTTCTCGTTATTATATAATTTACATTGATACCCCAAAGGTCTTTTAAGGAAGAGACCAGTCAGCCGATCACCAGGGCGTCCAAAAAGTACTTTTTGGTCAACTAGAAAGAAATGCATGAAATTATAAATGTTTACTATTCAAACAGCAGATCAGCAATTTGTACAATGACAAGTTTATAAATTTTTGTACGTCTTAAAGAAGGAGTAAAACAAACAACGATCAACAGTTTCTTTAAAAATTTAGGAGCTAAAGTAGCAAAAAAGAGAGCAGTATCACTCTTCTTCTTCTGAATGCAACTAATAATTGTAAATGTCTCAATTATATGTATAAAATATCTTATTTTTTATAAATATGTTTCAACGAACTTACTTCTGGAACGTTATGCGAGGTATCGCTCTTATATAGCAAATAATTTACATGACTTTTAGCATTTATTATTAACTTCCCGTAGGGTAAGTTATAGTAATCGCAAAAAAATCGAAAATGAAAATTTTTATATATCTTTACGTTTCAGAGGTTTCTGAATATTTTGGCATACCTTAGAAAAAATGGATGTATGTGTGTGTGTGTGTGTGTGTGTGTGTGTGCGTACTATGTATGTGTGTGCGGATACAAATTTTCGTCGACGATTTCGGGAACACGGATGAAGCAATTTCAATAATTTAAAAAACATTCGATCCGTATTGATAAGGAGACGTGCTGATTAGTTTTTGGCGGAGGTAGGTCTAGCCGTTCCGAAGATATGGGGCAAAAAGTGCCAAAAACGGTACCTTAGTTTTTAATAGAACGGAGCGTCCGATTTTAATAATTCAAAAAACATTTTACTTGTATTGACAAGATGAAGATTTGATCAAATTTTTATAAGGGCAGCTTTAGCGGTTTCGGAGATCTAACAAAAAAAGTAAAAAAAAATGCCATTTGGCGGTCAAAAGTGATCATTAGACATATGCACATCGAATTATCAGATATTTTATAGAGATTTTAACAATAACTATAAATTTTGTTTACATTCCTATGGGTTCCGTACCAATGTTTACCCGTTAGACAGCGACGCGGCGCTTACGCGCTTTATATTTTGTCTCTATGAATATAAAGCAGTACGATTGCTTTGAAAAAAAGTTCAGATCTTCCAACATATGTCTAAATAAAGAAAACATTTTTTTTCAAAAAAAATAATTTAAAAAAAAAATTTTAAATACATAATTTTTTTTTCAATTTTTTTTTCAAAAAAAAGTAAATTTTTGTCAAATTTATAGTTTCTCAAAAATCTTATTTTTTCGAAGTAATTTTTTTTCAAAAATGTTAATCGTTTTTAAAAAAAATAATAATTTTTGGTACGGGAAGTTCCAGCAATTTGCCTTAAGGCACGATGTCCTAATTGCCTTAAGAGAGAATTCCACTTACAGCTAGTTTATTTCGGAATAGGTCCAAATCCGGTAAATGGCTTAGAATTTTGAATAACATAATTTAGTTTTGGCTATTTGGGGTTGGTGGGACATAGTTAGCAACAGCATATTCCAAGATTGCATTAAATGTTTGTGGGTACACAACTATAACTTTATATATATATATATATATATATATATATATATATATATACGAGGTGTGTTCAAAAAGTACCCGGAATTACTAATAATTAAATTTCGCGGGTCTGGAGTGTCTGATTGTCAAAATTTTTTTTTTATTGTGTTGGTATACATGCCCCTAAAGTATGATGAAATTTTCAGCTATATTCACTGTTTACTTTGTCTGTGGTAGTCGCTAAGGTTCGACGTGTTTTTCTGAGCTCGGCGATTTTTACAATGGAAGAATTGAAAAGTCAAAGAATTTGTATTAAATTTTGCGTAAAAAATGAAATAAAGTGTTGCAAAGTGCAAAAATTCACCAGATATGGCTCCGTGCGACTTTTTCCTATTCCCAAAGTTGAAGAGACCCATGAAAGGACTGCGGTTTTCCTCGATTGAAGAAAATCGCTGAGAGTGCTCAAGGACATATCAAAAAGTGAATATCAAGGGTGCTTCGAAAATTGGAAAAAACGCTGGCATAAGTGTATTATATCTGGGGGGGACTACTTTGAAGGGGACCACATTAATGCAGACGAATAAATAAATATTTTTTTGAAAAAACGAAAATTCCGGGTACTTTTTGAACAGACCTCGTATATATATATATATATATATATATATATATATATATATATATATATATATATATATACAATACTGCTCTATGTATGATAAGCGGGAGTCACCGTGAAATTTATTGGAGATTGCGAGCACAAACCTTAATCGTATGCATTTCCATCACTTCCACGCTTTTCCCTCACCTCGAACAGCCGCACTAGTTACTCACCAGTAATTTCATATCGTAGTGTTTTATGAATATACAGCATCAATTTTCAACGTGTTTTAATTATTTCTAATAAATAATATGTGAATTATTGTACATTGATGAAAGAATAATTAACCATAAATAAATAATTCAAATTAAACTGTTATAGAGGAAAATTTCAATGCTAAACGCCTTGAACAAAAGCAAAGGGAATAAAATGAGATCAAGTATGCGCGATCGCTTTGTTCGATTACCTTTTAACCTGAATAGAACAAAACACAAGTTTACATTAAAGTGTAATTAAACCAGTTTGAAATATATTATTTGAATATATAATCAATATTATTGTCATCGATTCTAATCGTTGTGTTTATATCGATTAAGTGTTAGTCTGGAAAAGCCAGTATTAGGTAATATGATTCTCTATTTCGTTGATCAATAACGAATTTTGCTTCACCAGCTAACTTCGTTCGTTAACGTAATATTTCTGCGTTAAATTTCTTCGGTCAAAGTCCAAAGCATACCGCTTCGATATGGGAAGGTTATTTGTGTTGAATTAATTCTTCATATTAAAAGAAAACATTGTCTATTGTAATACTAAAGTACATACATACTATTGATAAGAGGTATAATGATTTTAGTCAACAAATTAAATCCGCTGATGGTGTCATTCAACATGCTATTTAATTTATAAAGCAAAAACCTGTTTAGAATTCTTGACGTACATTAAGCTTATCTGCTGCTCAGTTAGATGTTTATGCTGTGCATTGTTTCTAGGACTCGTCGTTCAATGGAGTATCATGCGCATTTTACCTGAATTGACATAAAAGTACTTTCTGGTGTTAAATAATGGTTGAATTTACAGCTGCAGGCAAATTTACTTGATGCACTGTCAATATTATTACCTTTGCTTGCTAATAGTTATTGTGCATCTCACTATTATGGAAATTTACATTCATTTTCGACTATGGACAGGATATGGCTACGAGTAATGACATTAAATTAATGTATAAACAAATTAATGATTTAGTAAATTTTGGCTGACTTTGGTATTTTATGAAATACATATGATAGACAGAAGGAATCTTGGAACGGCTATGTTTCAAATATAGTTGCAGATATGCATACTCATTTCTAAATACTTGTTTATCTATGTTGTAGTTTATACTTGTTTATCTATGGTTGCAGATATGCATACTCATTTCTAAATATTTGTAAAATTTTCAAATTCATAAAATTGATTGTGAATACAGTCCTACTGATCCTAATTAAGAAAGCTAGAGTAGGTCATTAAATCGAATATGATTTTTGACACCGAAAATTTTATGAATTGAATTTGATCCGGTGATTTGAATTGGATATTGTGATTTGAATTGTCAAACTTGATCTGATCATGTGAAGAATTGAATTGAATCCGATAATTTGAATCATCGAATCAAATGAGTCGATTTGAATTATTTATGCGAATTTCATGGTTTGAATTAATCAATCATTTAATTTGAAAAGGTTGAATCTAGTAAATCACTTTATAATATATTAGAAAGAAAATCGTTTTAATATGTCGCTTCTGAAGTAATTTAAATTATTCGTAACCTAAATCGATGCAATTGATAATCAAATATATAATATCCCAGGATGATCAATAGTAATATTTCTATAAAGTTTCCGTTCTTCTTTCTTCGTAGCATGTATCTGATAAAGCACATTTCAAATGCGTATTTTTGATTTTTTGAAGTGGTCAAGCAATTTCATGAAATTGAATAAATATTTTGCAATTTGGTGGCTAATTATTACCTAAATAAATATATAAGTTTTTGTCATAACTTATTTAAAATGAATTCAGAAGAAAAATATTTATTTCAGTTTCCCAACTCGGCTTTTTAACGTGAACGAGGTGCGTTTTGGGAAATGGATGCTGCGTTAGCAAGCGAATAATCTTGGAAAATTTATTTGCATTTACCATATCTGACTTACAGCTACTTTGGACTGATTGACCAGGTAACTTTTTTCTTCTGTTTTATAAAATTTGGCCATGTTCAGTCGAATTATCTTGTTTTGATTGAATTGTAGTGCCATGTAACACAGCTTGAATCATAGTATATAAGTTTAGCATTTTCATTATCCATTTGCGAGATTATCAACATCATCTCATTATCAGTTAAAATGTATAAAAAAGATGAAGGCTTTATTTATTTGATCTTATCTTTCATTTAATATTAAAATTATAATCAATTATAATATATATTACCTACTGTGTATATGATCATTGTGTATTATTATACTGCTAAATATTTCATTGAAAAGCTTAAAATATTTTAAATGCTATAACATGATTATTTAAATTTATTTCACATATCAGTTCTACATAACCTTACACTATTGTCAATTTTAATTTTATGGGTAAAAAATCCACAAACATTGTATACATTATAGTAATTCGTAATTTAACAGAATAAATGGAAAAATTGTTAACCAGAAGAGAAATACCCACGACCTTAACATTTCTAATATATTTCATAGATGATTGATCAATTGATCTTTCCTGGAGTTATCATGGCAAAATTTGTGCACTCATATTACATATACATACATGTATATGTATACTTTTTTTTGGATATGCGGAAATGATCACAAAATGGGAAATTACTCAGAACTAATAATCGGTGAATTTTAATTAACGATCTTGCAGGAATGTTAAAGTAAATGCACCTATCCCCCATTTTACTCGGTTTTTGAAAATAAATTTTGCTTAACGAAATTTTGCATTTACACAAAATTATAAACTAAACCATGATTTTCTTGTATCTACAATAAGAATTTAAATGTTTTGCTGTCAAAATTCAACACTACATAATGTATGTTACAGTTACGAATTCTTATTATATTATTAGTAGTCTATGTCTATGTCTACGAATTCTTAGTAGTCTATGATTTGTAGATTAGAGACGAAATCCTTGTTTAATGCCAAAACTAAATTTTATGTGTGTATAAACTAGTTTATTTGAAAAAAAAGACAATTATTGTTTATAAACTTTTTTTTAATTGGTGTTTATATATAATTGATAGCGTAAATTTATTCAAGGTGAGCAAATAACAGAATAGTTTTTTTTACAAAATCTTTCATTTATAAAAAATAATTATAGTTCGACAATGGCAAAAGAGGAAAATAAAAAACAGTGTAAAAGAAAAGTTATACCTGTACAAATCAATTTTTATTTTTATCTATAAAGAACGTGCTATATTTAAAACAGTTTCTTTATATTTGTTTTATTATTGAAATAAATTAATACTCTTATAATTCAATAAATATGTTCGATATTAAATATATTGATATTTATTTTTGTCCAATGTGTTTTTCATTCATCATATTAAAAACTGAACTACTAGTGGGGTGCATGGCATCGCGCCTTAAGGCAAATTGCTGGAACTTCCCCCTATAAAATATTTGATAATTTGATGTACATATGTCCAATTACCATTTTTGACCGCCAAATGACATTTTTTTAACTTATTTTTATTGGGAGTCCATAACCGCTGGACCTGCCTTTCTAAAAATTTAATCAGTTCTTCATCTTGTCAATACAAGAAAAATGTTTTACCGTTTTTGACACATTTTGCCATGTCTTCGAAACGGCTAGACCTACCTTTGCTAAAAATTAAACGTCTTCATCATCAATACGAATCGTTTTTTGAATTATCCAAATCGGTTGATCGGTGTTCCCAAAATCGTCGACGAAATTTTGTATCCGCACACACACACACACATACATCCATTTCTTCTAAGGTATGCCAAAATATTCAGAAACCTTTGAAACGTGAAGATATATAAAAAATTTTATTTTCGATTTTTTTGCGATTACTATAACTTACCCTACGGGAAGTTAAAGACGGCTTTTTATAGTAATATTCGTTTAGAACGGTTTTTTTCATATAAGAGCGAATTTTTCGCGTTACACGGTTTTTTATGGAACGTATATTCCGTAGGTATTCCAGAATAGTGTTTCAAATAATTAGATTGGTGACTACCAGCGAGTTTAATTGAATAACCTGACGTTGGTCTATTGATATAGTAATGTCAGCTAGATAATTAAAGTATCTTCAGACTCTTTTAAAAAGGCCCGATATTTAAAGCACGCATGTAGACGCGAGAGGCGTGTCTGTACTAATTTATACTTATACGTGAAAACGTTGTGCGAGTCTACACACATTTGGGTGTATGAATGGGAATCACGTAAGTATGCTTGAGAATGCTTCGTTGACGCGAGGAAACGGGTCAAAGATGTACGTGTAGGCACGCTGGCCGTAATAAACGAGAAACTTTCGCCTATAGCAAATACAGAAAGCAACTATTGATACAGTAATTTATGAATAGCATCAAAACATATAACATATTAAGATACGTATTACCACACTTTTAATCGGATTACAAATTAAACGATAACCGTAGCCTAATACATACGGAAAATGAGGATCACTTATGTGTTGCATTTCTCTGGCATAAATTATCACGTCCAGTCATTCCGAGTACGTTAACGAGATAGTCATGTGCTTGAATGAAACTTCAGAAAAACTTGATATCGTAAATGCAGTTCATTTTGTAGATTACTCTTTTGTGCAAATCATTGACGTTATTATTTTTATATTCATTCATATATTCTTTTAACTTCCTGTAGGGTAAGTTATAGTAATCACAAAAAAATAGAAAATGCAATTTGTTATTATCTTTACGTTTCATGGGTTTCTGAACATTTTCGCATACCTTACAATTAGAAAAAATATATGTATGTGTATGTATGTGCGAATACAAGTTTTTTCCGACAATTTCGGGAACACGGATCAACCGGTTTGAATAATTTACAAAACATTCGATTCACGTTGATGAGGAGACGTGTTGATTAGTTTTTGACAAAGTCATGTGCAGCCGTTTTGGGGATACGGAGCAAAAGTGCTAAAAATAGTAATTCTGTTTTTGAGATAGCGGAGCGTCCGATTTGAATGATTCAAAAAACATTTTATTTGTAATACCGAAGTGCAGAACTGATTAAATTTTTGGGAAGGCAGGCCTATCGGTTTCGAAAATCCAGCATATGCCATTTGGCGGACAAAAATAATCATTAGACATATTGCACATCAAATTATCGAATATTTTATAGAGATTTCAAGAATAAGTACAAATTTTGTTTACATTTCTATGGGTTCTGTACAAATGTTTATCCGTTAGGCCGTGACGCGACGCTTACGCGCTTCGATATCTCTCTTCTAAAAAAGTATTTTTTTTTAAATTCTCAAATCTTTTTTTTCTAAGTTATCAAAACATTTTAAGCTTTTTTATAATTTTTTTTTAAGCAATTTGCTTTAAAGAGCATGAGGCTATGCACCACTGGTTTATTCATGATCTTGTATACAAAAATATTTTTCTCTATTTTTCCCTAAAATGTTGTTAAAATTTTTACGGTTTCAACGCATTCCGCTTGGCTGCAAGTTCTATAACTATTTCTTAAATAACTGTGGACGCTTTTTTATTTTCTATTCGTTCTCTAGAGGTGTGTCTTCTTTTTGTCTTCCACATTATTGATTTCACTTTTTACGTACAAGATATTGTCAAGCAATAAACATTAAAGCGTGTGTTTCGCTAATGTACTGGATGATCAATCAATTATAATACAAGATACTACTCGTATTCATCTATTACAGAATTTTAGGCAACATTTTTCAAGAAGTTGTTTTAACTTAATTGGCAATTCTTCTTCGTTCTGTAATTTTTTTTTATTTTTATTTTTCTTAAAATTTGTTTAAGTTATATATTTCTAGAATTATATAAATATCATATACCCTATCATAGATTAGACAATAGCAAAAATACTTGTTATTAACTTGGTTATATTGTGATTTCATAAGTGATTTTTTGCAATATCCTAGAGAGATTTACCAATGTATATGTTTGTTTTTGCATCATTGCGAGCTTTATTTCTATGACGTGTGATTATATTGTTAATATATTTTTTTTTCTGTTTGAACTTCTTCTGGTTCAAAACATTGTTATAGAAAAAGTAGTATAATAATTCTGTTTGTTGTTTAAGTATAAAGATTAATGTCGAGTAAAAAACAGGTATTGATATTATAATTAGGAAAGTGGAACTAAAAACTCCACTGAAGTAAAACTAATATACTTTTTTGCAATATGCAGTAACTGTTTTTATTGCAATTTGCAAATTGAATGCGGGGTGAATAGCAGGATGAATAATTTGTCTAAAATAGCGAAATGAACCAAACATGATTATTATTATATCGTAATTCAAAATTTTTAATTGGAAAATACTAATTTATTTATTTTTGAAGCAAACAACGCGTCGCAAATTTCACAACACGTATTTGTCAAATATTTTGCATATAAATATGATAAGGAAGAAATTTCGAAAGATACGAAAATATCCATCTTTTATATTGTCATAAATGACCTCAAAATCAAACTTAGCAGCTACCGATCTCACTGACGCCTGTGTCGAATTGTATGTGTATGTGTACTAATGTGATTGTGGGTTAAAAGAAGTTAAATGCTTTGCTCATGGAGTCATATGTCTTGAATCCTCTCATTCGTCGAACTTCTAGGATTTTAATCGATTTATAAAAACCCGATTTTTATGAAGTTATTACAAGTGTAACTATTACAAGTACAGTGAAATTTCGCATAACGTACTTAATTCGTTCCGGGAGTAAGTTTGTTGTGCAAAAAGTTTGCTATGCGAAACGCGAATTTTTATAGAAATATCTGGCAATATATTGAAACATATTTATATTAAATAAGTTATATTATACATGCAATTAATTTACGAAATAAGATAAATATGCTCTCTTTTATGCTTATTTAGCTCCTGAATTCTAAAGAAACCGTTGATAGTTGTTTGTTTTACTCCTTCTTTAAGACCTGACAAGATTGATAAGCTTGCCATTGTACAAATTGCTGATTTTCTTAGCCTCAGCTATTTTGAAAAGTAAGT